ATATATTATTATATATATATATATATATATATATATATATATATATATAATTTGAAAATCGTAATAACTGTGATTTTTTTATAATTAAAATTTTCATCTTTAATTTTATGAATACATATGAAATATTGCAAGCTGGGATATTTCCTATATTTTATTGTAACGAATTAATGTAAATAATATTTACTTTCCTTTTCACCGATTCTATTGATTAAAACTCCGCGGACACGCATGGGCACGCGCGTTAGAATAAGGGAAGGCACATCCACAGATGTAATCTTCCGAGACCTTTCTAGACCTCTTTGCTTTGCTCGGAGCGACCTTTCCGCGAATCGACGGTTTCATCAAATGTTAGGAGAACCCAGCGCGCGAAATTAGCGGGATAGTCGCATCACGAGAGTAAAATAAACGCACGAGCGTTATGCTACTTATGCCACTTTCTACAATATTTCGTAATGTATATTTTTTTACGACTACCGCCTTCAAAGACGTTACTTCACGCGGCGTAAGTCTTGTCGGGAAGGACGTTGACTCGAATCCAGTTAATCATCGTTTGCTAATCGCAACGAAGACCGTCATTGTAATAAAAGTCTAAAGAGCAGACGCCACATATCACATGACTGTCTCATATACAGAGTTAGCAGGTATCTCGAGTGTCGCGAAGGATTGTTGCAGTCTTAAGAAGTGCAGACTAAACAATGACAGAGTTCTCGCTTTAGGACGAGCCCTGATATACCGTGCGAGTAATATTAACCGGAAACATTAATACGATATAACGACTTTTTCAGTATACCCTTGTGTAAATACATTTCAACGTTCGTAGAGGCAGCGTTTCACGATAATGATTCCCACGGATTCGCCCTCAACCAATATTTACCCTTTGATACAAATGTGATTAATACATCGGTAGACCGCAATGGTTTCGTACAAAACCACGTCTGACCGAGGGGGAGGGGGGGGAGGAGGGGAGTTAAAATAAAATTCCCCCTGAAAAACGTAACGAATCCTCGATTAATCGACTTGTTCGGGTAGGCAAACCGTCGCGGCCACCTCCCGGCAACGGTAATTAATTTCCGACGTCCGACGGTAATTAAAAGACGGGCCGCTTCGTCATCGCACCCACACGGTCGGCATTGGGAGAAAGACGCGGGATTACAATGTGGCTTTGTGTTGCTCACGCTTGTGCGTAATTAACATACAATATTCTCGAGGCAGGAAGGCCCGTTTCTTCGGGAAGAAGATCGAGACGATTGCTTCTTAAGAACGGTTCGGGGATACTGATTCGTTAAGTATCATTACTTCATGTAGGTTTGTCGAAGAAAGGATAAGCCGTTAGAGAAAGGTTGCATAAGTCATATTCTTTCTTGATTGGTCGATGGAGATACATCCGAAAAAAACACGTTTCTGCTTGTTTCTCGAAAGACGTGTAAAAGTCAAGTTGACTTTTGAGTTAATTTCCGTTTGTTCGCGGATGTGCCTCGTTAGCATAATTTGTATCAATGTGGTAAAACGAAGATGAATTCAGAATGCAAATCCGCTCTCGCTCGCCGCGTATAGGATTGCTGTTTCATGGGGCAGATGGCAGACGGAAGATACAGTGTATCCAATGTCCGTCAACCATACCTCGATCTCTGATACATGGTGTCTTTGAGCGATATCATCTTACGGTTGAGGTTTGTTCGTGTTTATCAGCACTTTCTTCATCTCCGCCTTCCTCTCTTGGAGTTCAAAGTTAGAAACTACAGATTTATATCTCCCAATCTGGCGTCGTTGTTTTATTAACTTTGCTCCCAACGCTTTGGCGATGAAACAGTGATCGTATTGTTTCTAATAAGTGAACTAGCATAAAATCGACGTTATATGTGTAGATATTTTATCTGATAGACATTGATTTTCCTACTCCTTGTCGTAGAGAAACATGCGTGTTTGACTGTGCGTGTGTCGGATTTTCACGGGCACGCGCTCAGTAGTTCGGTTGTTAAGATCGATTTGCATGCGATTATTGATGGGCGTTCCTACATCGGGCGATCGAGATCTTTATCGCGTTACTGTAACACCGAGGTCCCTCCCCCCTCCCTCCCCCCGGCGAGGAGATTACACGGAAATTAGCTATGACGGCCATCGGAATCAGACCGCGCGTCGATTTCTAATTGCAACGCAGATGAAAAATCGGATTTATACGCGATCGTACATCGGGATAAACGACGCTCGTCTATCTATCGATATCTTATCCAATTACTTGAGTAAATCGAGCCTGCTGTGTAAACACGCGTCGTAAATTATTCACCCAGAATGACAGCGAGAAAGTTCGACGCGGCCGTAATTAATTGCAATTGTCCTCTTGCGAAGGCAGGGCGTATTTTTGCAGAAATTTATCACATCCCCGAACGTCTTCATTGACTTGAACCGCCATACCGACGTGGGTTATATGTAACTCTGATAATTTCGGTGGTTCCGCGATAAAGTCGCCGTAAATCAGCGGCGCGTCTGGGTCAGGGCAGTTTGCGTCCTGAACCTGTTCTGAACCAGATTCGCCGTCGGCGAAACTGCGGCGGGGATGCGGTGGCAGTTAAATAGGCTCTGTCAATGAGACCGGGGTTATCCCCCCCCTCCCCCACGCCCGCTAAATACAGGTTTCTATCAAGTTCCGCGATTCCTATTCATTTGATAAACATCGTCCCGCGTTATCGGGATGTCGGCAGGTGTTATTGACCTTACCGATCTTGCGGTTCCGGTTGCGGTTGCAGGATCAAGTGCAATTTTCCTCTTGGAGGCATCCTATCATTAAAAATCTGCTTTCAATTCAAATCTCTGATTATTCATGCGACAAATATATACCGTTGGAACGTTGTTATCCTTGCGGCTTATCAAACGATAGATTAAGTGCGCTAATGCACGGCAACGTTCGTAACAAATAGTTTCTTCGTTATCACGCTCATGTTACACGCTAACACCGCTCGGTTAACTTCTTTCCGATGACGTATACGTTCGTGTACACGAAACGGCGGGGTTCAGTCCCGACCACGAAGGTTCCTGGAATATTGATTAACGATACCTACTTTCCGCGTCTCGTGCCGGATAACGATCGGTCCGAGTCATGCCGGTTCTGTAGTTCCGCGGCGCGTATTAATTAACGTTATAAGGTCGACTGGTTAGTTGGTCCTTCCGTTGCTGGTAGCTGCTGTCGACACGTTAAATGGGCACACGTATTTTCGCGATCTTTGACAAAATTTTTAATTCGGAAGAAAAAAATAAAATAAGAAAAATATATTAAAATCTTTCAAATTTTTTAAAAATTAAATTTAAAGTGTTTTATAGAGTTTAAGTAAGAGATTGCGAATATTTAGATGCGGAATACGATGATGAGAAATTGCATTTGGCAACTCTGCACTCTGTTAAACAGACTCCATTGACGCAGTTAAGATTTATCTTCGAGAAGAATGCGTGCGTTTCCGAGAAGATTTACTTTATTGTCGCCGCGTCTGGAATCGCCTAAACGAATTTTTACGATCGTAAATAGGTAATCAGGCGCGAGCTATAGTATAAAATCAGGTTGAAATCCGTTTCGTTTGATTAGCATAGCGCGTTAATAATTCAGCCGGTTAATTCGTCTCTGCGGCACGAGCGGCCGCGGAATGTCGTAAAGTTTCTCCGCCGTTGATCAGGATGCGTGGCAACGCGCGGCGAGAGGAAGCTAAGCGCGGGAGCATTTCACCCTTTTTGCTCTCGTACTCGGCGCGGAATGTGCGGCCAGACGCGCATGATGCAGCGGCGATGCGATGCGGTGGGATGCGATGCGATGCGATGCGATGCGATGCGATGCGATGCGATGCACAACCGCGCACGTGTAACGCCAGCCGGCCGTCCAGTAAAAAGCGTGGAA